CTCATGTCTTTCAAACATTAAAGTATTTCTAATGTTCCTGCATTATAAATAGTGGTGCACGAAACATTCTTTTACCAAGAGATAAATATACCTGTGCAAGAATTTCTCTCGAGTCACCTTGTAATACAGGTTACGCGATTGTTGGGTGTGTACTTTAATTAGTTATCACCATGTTGTTCTCCAAAATGATCGCTTCAGTCTCTCCTGCAGTTTATAAGAGTTTCTGTGGATTTCTTCTGTGAACTTGCTTTTCATCGTCCGCTTTTTTTTTATGTTTTTCAGCTTTTTATAAAATCGCTGTTCAATAATAATAATTGTCCCTATTTCCCCCCCTAACTTTCCCCGGTCCTTCCCACCCGCCACCTCCCACATCAGCCCCCCCCACACAGTCCCGCAGCCCCGTCGTCTTTGTCCGTGGGTCCTTTATACGTGGTTTTATTGTGAGCTGGTTGTGGGAGAGCTTTATAGACCCTGTCTGCTAATACTCTGTCAGTTTTATGCGTTGTAATACCCTCTCCCGGTGTGCGGTATCTCCTTTCACTTTATAGATAGAAGTTTTAGATGTTAGTGTAGTCAAATTCAAAGGAGAGTAGCTTGCTGATACTAGGGGTAGGAAAGTATTTATGGGTCAAGGTGCACAAGCATAATTTGTAAAAGGAAGGATTATCAGTGCTAATTGAGTTGGCTTCTCTTAAATTCTGCTTTCCCATGTGAATTTTCTGTTTGTCTAGTTCCATTACATCAGTTTGTTCAGTTCCATAAAAAATTCTGTTGGGATTTTATTTGAAATTGCATTCAATTTATAGGTTAATTTAAGGATAATTGGCATCTTTACGGTGTTAAGAGTCCATCAAATAACAGGCATTTCTCTCTTTATTCATGTCTGTTATATCTTCCACAGATGTCTCGAAATTTCCTTCCAGGTGCTTTCTTTCCTTTCCTAAATTATTCTCGGCTTAGCATGGTCTAGTGCCCTCTTCATCCGTTTGTGACACCCCTCTTCCCCCCACCCCTGGTGCAATGACCCCTGCCTTCTCCTTGCCTCACAGCTGACTGCTGAAAACTAGCAAGAATGAGGGGAGACAGGGGACAGAGGGCTCTCTTCAGCACTGTTCACTCTATGCTACTTAAGAAGAAAGTTGGAACCTTCTTTTAAGAAGAAAGTTGTGAGAATTTTGTAGAGAGGAAGTGTTTTCTAGTGTCAAGACTAGGAAATAATAGACCTGAAATCTCAGCTCTGTATCTCCTTTAAGTTGCCGGGTGTCAGGCAACTTAAAGTTTTATATGTCTGTTCTTTAATCTGAAAATTGGATATGGCATCCGTCCCCTCCATGACATAGTAGTGCAGATTAAACAGTAATGCTCAGCCCATGGAGAAGAGAATTACACTGTTAATGTAAATATGAATGTTGCACATTCATCAGATGAAAATTATTTTAGTTATCAGGATCTGCTTCATCTTGGCCTTCGGGGGGTATGTTTTATGAATGACAAGTTTTCTGTTTGGAAAAAGCACTGATTACATTTGGAAATGTTACCTGCCTTGTTTCTATTTATTCAGAGAAGTTTTCCTGATGAGTTGACTTCTGAAAAAAAATTCTTTTTGGAAAATCTGAAGCACTATCATAGAGAGAGTAGAACCATGGCTCTCTTCTGCCTGCCATTCAGTTTAACATTCGGTTCACGGCCAATCTCATTTTATCTACTTCCCCGGGCAGCCTTACACCTGCCTGCTCCTCGATTACCCTTGAGAGCATATTATTTTCATTAAATATTTCAGTTGTATGTATAAAAAAATAAGGACTCTAGTCCTGGCTGGTGTGGCTTGGTGGATTGAGCACCAGCCTGCAAAACAGAAAGGCTGCCGGTTCGATTCCCAGTCAGGGCACATGCCTGGGTTGCAGGCCAGGTCTCTAGTTGGGGGTGTGCAAGAGGCAGCCATGTAGGTTTTTCTCACACATGGATGTTTCTTTCCCTCTCCCACCCTTCCCTTCTCTAAGAAAAGTAAATAAATAAAGTCTAAAAAAAAAAAAAAATAAGGACTCCAAAAAAGCATCAACATGAAACCATTATCATATTAAAAGATAATTAATAATCATTTGTCAGTGTCCTCAAACATCCAGACTATGTTTTCCTTTATTCATTGATCTGCTCACCATTTTTCTCCCTCTCACATTCTTTTGCTCAGAAAGAAATGGGGGGCGGGGAGAGAGAGAGAGAATTCTGAAGAAACCAGGTCATTTATTCTGTAGTTTCTTACTGTCTAGATTTTTAGGTTTCCCATTGTTTAGATTACATCTTCGTAGTGTTGTTTAAAGTGTTTTTCTTTTGTCAACTGTATTTTCTTAAAATTGGTAGTTAGATCCAGAGGAATAGTATGATTTTATCTGTGGTAAATATACCTTTTTTTTGGGGGGTGGAGGGAGGATTATTTTGGTGTAAAAGAATCCCTTTAGCAGAATGGATGCTCTAGGCAAGTAATCGTCATGCTGCTGCCTTGACTGTGGACCAAGTCTCCTGTGCCCTGGTGAGCAGGGCTGATACCTGTACACCCCGCAGGTTGGCCCAGGGTGGGGTCAGCCCGCGTGGGTGGCTTCAGGCCATTGTCTCAAAGTTTATTGCATCCCATGTGCTGTGACACACACTTGGTAGAGCTTCACATGAAAGCGATAGGAAAAGGACTAAGTGATAGCTTAAATTGTGTTTCTGTGAATAAAGCACATGGACGATACTGTGTGAATTTTGAGAGTTTGAGTTGGGCTAAGCTCCATATCTAAACCTAGAAGGATTTTATTCCGTTTTGAGTTTTCCACCTGAGAGAAGAGAGGTGGCGAGGGTAAAGTCCGACAGGTCCCCCGAGTCCTGGGGCGGCGAAGGAAGCCAAGTGTGATCGGTTTCTGTGTTTGCTCTAACAGGTTGCCACAAATGTCGTGGCCTAACACAAGTTTACTGTCTTATAGTTCTGGAGGTGACAAGTTCGAAATGGGTCTCACTGAGCTAAAATGAAGGGGTCAGCGGGGCTGGTCTTCCCCGGAGGCTCCAGTGGGAACCTGTCTTCTTGCCCCTTCCAGCTCCTGGAGGCTGCCCAGCTCCCTTGGCCCCTGGCCCCTCTGCGTCCAGAGCCAGCAGTGGCCGGGCTCACAGCGTGCCACTGCAGCGCTGACGCCACTGTGCCTCCTCTTCTGTTTTTAAATACCCTGGGGTTGCCTTCGGCCTGGACAGCCCACGGTGATCTCCTTGTTTTAAGGTCACCTGGTTGGTGACCTTAAATCCCTGTAACATAACATGGGACTGAGACGTGGGCATCTTTGTGGGGGCCATTATTTTGTCTGCACACAACTTGGGCTGAAGTAACAGAGGACAGGTATTGCTCTCTCCAGTACTACAGTTCTTCTGACGACCCTTGAATATACACTTCGCTGGTCTTCCAGGGACAATATATAGAACTCTTGGTGTTACCTCATGAGGTACTTATATTTATGACTGTAAAACATTTAAAAGTTAACACTGGTTAACAGAGCCATTTAATGGAGTCTGTCGTTTGCTATGCCGACATAAGGAGCCCAATGAAATGTTTTCTTTTGCCTTTCAATTTCTATGCAGAAACTAAATATTTTTAAGGTTAGTTTGTTTTTCTCTGAGTATGGCCTACAAAAAGGTAAATGCTCATTTGTGTGACCAGGCACATCTCTTTTGGACAAAATGGGCACTTGGTGATGACAGATACTACGTACGTTTTGATGTGAATGGAGCCTGACAATGCTTTCTGTCACCTGGGACCTGGTAGAGTGTGTGCGGGGAGCATTCTGTGGACATGACGTGGAAATCTCGGTTTTGAGTCTTTTCCTTCCCCTTGGGCAGCAGGAGAGTCCGAAGCCTGGGGGAGGGGCTTTTTAAACAGCTGAGACATCGACGGGGTTCTCCTCTTCTGCTGTTCTGCCGACTCGTTGTCATTGGGAACGACACATAGTTCCCTGGTAGTTGCAGTGCTTCTCTTAATGTATCAGAACTTTGATTTTCAAACTTTTTTCTTTTTCAGACAGATGATTGTGATATCTGTTACACTTCTGTGCCAGGTTTACTGAACATAACGTCTTTAAAAATCATGACTTTGTGCTGACTATATTCATACTGTATTCCTTATTTGAAAATTGCTAGGAGTAGACATTAAAAGTTCTCATCACAAGAAAAAGAACTTGTGACTGTGTGTGACGAATGCTAACTAGACTTACTGTGGTGACCATTTCTCAATATACACATAAATATCGAGTTATTAGTTGAGCACCTGAAACTAGTGTAATGTTATATGCCTATTTTATTTCAGTAAAAGAGATCATGACTGTTTGAACTCAATTATTAATCAGCTTAGTTTGTATAGTGGTCACACAGTCTTTTATGTTCATATGTTAGGCTGCTTTCCCTCTGGTCACTGGCCTCTACTTGCCAACAAAGCAAAACCAACAGAAAAGTGAACCAGTTGTAACGCGCAGCTGAACTCCTGCACAGCGCTGTCCAGGAGTCGTGGCTCCCGAGTGGGTCTGTTGTGTCTGCGGTGCTCCCAACTGCCATTTCTTCCCACCATTTGTGCCTTCGCTGCGTCTGATGCACTGCTGTGATTAATACCCTAATTTATGCACCTGGGCGAGGCGACACAGCTGTTTATTGAAGTTCGTGGGTGTTGGTACAGACAGTCCTTTCAACATTCAGTGGCTTCAAACAGTTGTTCTCGTTTCTAAATCCCCAGCTGGGTTTCAGGGGCTGGAATGTGTAAGCCTTACCCCTGCATAAGCAAAGGGGAAATTCTAATTGAAAGACCACCTGGTTTGTTTTTTGTTTCTGATTTTTTTTCACTTGTTTCTTCTAAAATATTTACATTCTCAATTACTAAATAGTAATTTTACTTTAGTTTTCCTTGAGAAGGTAGCTGTTCCTGATCTGTTTTGATGATGTCCTGTTTGTCTTCACAATTTATCAGTTCTTTTTATTTTTCTCTGTTTTAGGCTCTTACTGGTTGGTGGATGCGAAACTGCTGAACCGGGCCTGTCGAAAGCTTCCAGCTGTGGCCTTTCTGCCTGGAGGGTTCTCTCGGGGTCCCCGTATTACAAGCAGGTCGTGAGCGGTGAAGACAGGGTCGCTGCAGTAAGTATTGGTTACGGCGTTTCACTTTGCCAGCAGATGGGAGGCAGATAGGCCCTTGGTAAGATAAAGAGGAGGAAATAATTTGTCCTGAGCGGGGAAAATGACTTGATGCTATTGAAATCTTAGTGCTTCTTTCAAATATCAAATTTATCTAAAGCGTGTTGTGTAAGTTGTTCTCATTCTGAGAAAAACAAACAACCTAACTTGCACCTACTTATTTGGACATTATCATTTTTAAGCACTCTTTGTGGTCTGACCCTTCTGAGTGCTGTTCTGTGTTATCAGCTCATTGAGCTATCAGTAACCGTTTCAGGGAGGTATTGTTACTGGCCTGAACCTACTGAGGAGGAAAGTAACTTGTAGTTTTGTTTAGTAACTTCACCTGGGTTACCCAGCTGGCAGGTGGCCTAATTAGAGTACAAAGTGGCAGGAAATCCCCTGTGCAAGTTCTTACCTCTTGAGGTGCCCTCCTGCTGTCTTGTTTCGTATTTGCATGGACTTCCTCTGACCCTTCACTCTTTTGTCCTGCACTGGAGATGCTGTTTTGTGCCAGGCAGCGGGCACTCTTGTGGGCTGTAATAGCATAGGCTGGGCTCTGAAATGAAAAAAACAGTCGCATAAACAGACGGATGAGGAATCCGACGTTTCTGTGGCTTACGACATACATGTGGATTCCTTGTTTGTGGTGAGCCTGCAGTTGGTACTATGACCCTCCTGGACACCGTGTTCCATGTGCTGATTAAAGGATCCATGGAAGCTGCCCCGTCTTGAGGTCCCACTATCTCAATTTACGGTCTTAACGGGGGACGAGATGACTAAATTAAGGTGGAACTTTTTACTGTCTTAAACCAGACCTGATACCACGTCTGCTCACAGTTCATTTATTGAAACCAATCACGGGTCTCGTTCTGCCCTCAAAAGGCCTGGGAAGTAGCTTTCTCTGTGTTCGGAAAGGCAAGAAAACTAGGTATTGGCGAATCTTAATGTGTCCATCGCACTGGCTGCCCTGCGATGTTGTATATCCTGGGTATTTGTGTAACTGCATGATAACAAATACCCAGTCACAGCGCCCGGCGTGGCGGGGGCACCCAGGCGGTGTCTGGGTGAGGGGCAAAGCCAACAGATTAAAGTGAAACACAGCATAAGGGAACGTGCTACACTGTTTTTCTTTTCCTATAGTGACTGCATTTGTCTCATTATTTCTTCTTAAAATATATTTGTTTCAAAATAATCCTCTAAAACCACAAATGGTTAAAGGGTTTGGTGTTGAAAGGAACTAACAAAAGTACTTTGAAAGGAAATCTTTATCAAATATAATAAGCTTCCTTTTAGTTTTTCTTTAGCTTTTAACATATATCAAAATACATGATTGTAAATTTAACCCAACAAGGTGTTTTCTTAAAAAAAATTAATAAGATCTACTGACTGCTTTATCTGGCTCCAGTTTGTATTTGTAGACTAGTTTATATGTAGCACTGTGGTTTGCGCTTTTCCTTTTACTCATTATCCATCCACTCATTGTAGCACCCACTTATTCTCTCTGGAGAATTCAGTGAGGGGCCTTGTTCACAGATAGGGAGCCTAAGGCCCCAGGAGATCTTAGGAACTAGGAACAGGGGGACAGTGGTGGACCCAGGCCCTCTAGTTTCTGTTTGTCACCTTCCCCCTTTCCCTGTGTGAAATCACACACTTATCAGTGGCATCGTCAAATTTATGCTGTGATGCTTATCCCGTCATTTATAAAGACGGAGTGAGGTTGAGTTGCTTGTACGTATTGGACGTGTTATTTCATATTTGCAGGAATTCAGTCATGCCTCTCTCTCCATCTTAATTCACACCCAGCTTGCAGTTTTAACTGGGAACTGCATCAGGGCACATCTTGTCACGACTTGGAACTGTTGTACTTTTTGAATCTAAGTGTGGTTCTGTAGTTTATTTTTAAATGGTTCAGCCAAAAAGTATCTTAAAAAAGTGTTTATACACATAGATAGTGTGGCAAAAGGTTAATAATTGATGAGCTCAGGTGAAAGGTATACTGGTGTTTCATTATATAATCATTTCAGTGTTTCCGTTGCCGTGAAATTTGTCAAAATTAAAGGCCAGGGAAAAAAGACAGAAGTAGAGAGGCGTGGAGCACATAGGGGGAGATGAAACGGGCGAGCTGAGCGAGTCTGTCTCAGGACAGCGTGGCCAGGCGTGATCCTGACGGCGGCCTGGGAAGGGTGCCGCGGGCCAGCACTCACGGTGGCTTCTCTGGGCCCTCCTGGGTACTTGCTTGGCCTCTTCCTGAGGCACTGGAGTCTGTTCTGCTCTGTCTGGTTCTTCCCTGTCTGCCCTGAAGCTTTGGTATTGGAGTCTTTTAAAAGAAAATTGCTTGTGCACTGACAGAGTAAGTGGGGGAAAATATTGAATTGCCAGTTGAATGCTCTGCTGTATGATTAACTTCCTGAAATGCTGCAAGTATATTTTAATTATGTTAGTGGCTTTTAAATATGTCTTGCAGCCAAACTTACCTCATTCTCCTACCTCAGTCATTTGAATTAATAGGATTAGTTCCTTGGTCAGGTGGCAGGCGCTGTCCTCCTGGAGCCTCCTCCTCGTGCTGTTTGCTTGGGGCTGCTGTTGTGCCCGGGTGGGTATCGACTACAAAACGCCGCTGACGTGTATTCTAGGCTCTTGCAAGGCTGCTAGGCTGTAAAAGAGACTATGCAGAATTCAATGTATGTATTGACCAAGCTTTCCAAATTAATGTTGGTGTCATTTATGCGACATAGTTTTATTTATTCGTTTGTTCAGCATTGAGTCGCTGCTCCAGGTAATAGCTCTCAAGGTGGCTCTCAAGGGCTCCACTGTATTGGAGGATCCAGGTGTGTCCTCAACTAAGGTCAGTGAGCTGTAGCAGGTAAGAGGTTAGAGCTCAGTTACTGGGAGCCAGAGGCCGGGGCTGGAATCCGAGCTCATCACTTACCCTTGTGTGTTAAGGCTTTTGCCAGGATCGTAGGAGGTAGTATGTGCGGATGTGCCTGGTCGGTCAGAAAATGATCTACATGCAGGGGTGGCCCACGTTTGGGCATCTTGGGGCCACACTGAAAGAAGAAGAGTGGTCTTGGGCCACACATTAAATACACTTGCAACACATAATTCCAAAAAAAAAAAATCTCAGAATGTTTTATGTAAATTCACGATTCCGTGTTGGGCTATATTCACAGCCATCCGGGGATGCATGTGGCCCGTGGGCCGCAGGTTGGACACCCCTGCTGGTGTTTACTATTCTCTATTTCTATTTTTAAGATGAAAAGTTTAGGAACAAAGTAAAGTGAACAAAATTGACTGTATTTCTTGTTATTGATTCTTGACATAGAATGTTGTGGAAATGATACAGCTTTTTGAAATCCTGTTGCCCTGAGAAATTCTATTGCCCTGAGAAATTCTGTTGCCCTGAGAAGCTGAAAGTGAGGAGAAGAGCGTTTCCGCCAGGTCTCGCCGCGTGCCTGCATCTGTGGCTGTGCCGTATCCGCTCCCCGGGGAGCGCCAGGGGCTGTCCTCGCACTGGCGGAGGCGTCCATTGGTCCAGTAGGTCTCCCGCTTGCTCGTTGGAGGATGTGTTTCCTACGTCACCAGTTTTGCTGTCTATTAGATTTATCAGCCTACAACATGCTTTTATTTTTCTCACTGTAGAAACTCTTCAGTTTAGCTCTTGGGGGATTTAAACTCCAGTATATCCTGCTTCCACCCTGTTTACTTTCCTGTCTTCAACATGTTCAGGAGTTGCCTGTACTCGTTTCGAAGTCCCCTCTTTCCAGGCTTTCTTGAATTCACTTGAAAGGGGAATTACCTTTATCATTCCACTGAAACTATCTTATCGATACTATCAGTGCTTTCTAATATTGTACCAGCTTATCAGTGTCACTGATGCTCTTTCATTCTTACTAAGTGCTTCTATAAAAATTAGTTTATTTTACTCTTTCTCTTTCCTTTCTCCTCCCTTTTTTGGTTGTATTATTTCTTTGTCAAAACACATAATATTTACACATTAGTGTTTACCTTCATCCTCACTTCCTTTTAGTCTTAGTTGTCCATTTATATATTCCAAAATGCTCACTGTCTCTTCTTTTGCTGAACTTTCCCCAGTCATCTTATGGTTAGATGAAATTATCCACTAGTAGATGTTTTGAGAAAGGCTTGTAGGTGAAGAGTTTCTTTAGTTCTTGTTTGTTCAAAATTGTTTTCGATAGCCAGGATCTGAAGGGAAACATGTCTGGATATAAAATCCTTGGTTTACCTTTTTCTTTCATTGAACTTAAAAAAACCCCAACAAAACTAGTCTATTGTTGCTTTGTATTGTATGGGGAATTTGGAAAGTCTGACGTGCCCTATGTTAAATTAGTTCCCCTTTGTATTCTGTTTGGCCCCTTTGCTTGGAGGCCTTAAGGATTTTTTTTTATCTTTGCAATCTAACAGCTTTCCTGGGATATTTCTTGGAGTTGATTATTCTGGGTTAATTTTCTCAGGTATCCATTGGCTCTTTCAATGTATAGATTCAGATCTTTTTCTATTTCCAGAGAGACTTTTTGGGTTATGAATTTGGAAGTGATTTCCCATAGGCCTCAGGCCTCTTTGTTAGCTTCCTGCGTCTGCCCCTCGGGCCCTGCAGTGGTTTCCATTCTGCGTCTGCTCGCCACCAGGCCTAGGGGTGGGCCTGGCGCGGCAGGGCGTGGCTGTGGGTGCGAGGCGAGAGCAGGTGGAAATGATACCCTGGGACTTGGTGATTTTTCTCCTTCTGCTCACAGTGATTTTGAAGCCTGTGTGTCCTCAGTCTTCAAGAGAAGCTGTGGGTGTAGTTTTATGTAGAATTACTTTTCCCTTCTTGCTTTTTCTTGTTGTAGGAGAAAACACTGGGAGTTAGGTTATCACTACTATCTTTAGCTGCTCAGTTCTGGTGGGAAATATTTTAACTTGAACTAAAGAGTACCCCTCTTTACCTTTTTCTTTTAAATTAAGTAAAATTCACATAACATACTATTAACCCACACCACTTTAGGGTGTACAGTTCAGTGGCATTTAGAGCATTCACAATTTTGTACAACCATCAACTGTCTAGCGTCGAAACATTTTCAGCACCACAAGAAGAGACCTAATGCCCATTAAGCTGCCTCTTGCTATTGTCCCTTTCCCCAACTGCTGGCAGCCAGTGGCCTGTTTTCTATTTCCATGGATTTACCTTTTATGGAGGTTTTATATGAGTGGAATCATACAGTATGGCCATTTGTATTTGGCTTTTTTTATTTAGCATAATATTTTTGAGGTTCATCCAAGTCGTAGCATGTATCAGTACTTTAGTCCTTTTTGTGGCTGAATAATATTCCTCTGTATATACTTCATTTGTTTTTCCATTCTTTAGTTAATGGATATTTGAGTTGTTTCCACTTTTTGGCTATTGTGATTAGTATTGCTGTGAACATTCATGTACAAGTATTTGTTTGAATACATATATTTTATTCTTTTTGGTATATACTTAGATGAAGTTGTGGGGTTCTATGGTAATTCTGACTTTTTTTTTAAAGATTTTATTTCTTTATCTGTAGAGAGAGGAGAAGGGAGGGAGAAAAAGAAGGAGAGAAACATCAACATGTGGTTGTTGCCCACGCACCCTCTACTGGGAACCTGGCCTGCAACCCAGGCATGCGCCGTGACCCGGAATTGAACTGGCCACCTTTGGTTCACAGGCCTGCACTCCGCCCACTGGGCCACACCAGCCAGGGCTGAGTTTAGCTTTTTGAGGAACCACCACGCTTTCTCCACAGGGGCTGCCCCATTTCCCACCCCTACCAGCAGTGTGCTAGGGTTTGCACATCTTCTGCAGCACGTGCTATTTTCCATGTTAAAAATCATACCTGTCTCCCTCTCTTGCTTTTATACTTCTTAAATCTAAAGACAGAAATAATCTCGTGTTATTTCAAATACTGGTTTCTGAATGATGATTATTTTCCTGGTATTTTTCAAATATGAAATTAATTCCTTAATGAAGGAAATTTCTGTTGGAAGTTCTGACCTTTTCCATCGTCCTGTTGAGATAAAAGGATAACCTGGGGCAGTGTCGTTTGACAATAGCTTGGAATAAACTCTAATTTGCATAGATTGTACTAGACTTGTTATGCATACATTTAAAAAGCACTTGGTTATGGGTATATTTGTAAGATTTACCGCTTTGTGGAATTTTTTCAAATAAAAACCACCAATATCTCTGACACCTATCGCTGATTTTCTTTACCATTTCTTTAAATACTACATTTGCTATAGTTTTCATTTTATGATTAAAGGACTTTTTACAAGGAGAAAACATTACATTAATCTTTCTTTGTATGGTGTTCATTTACTTTGTAGGTACCAAAGACACTGGGATTATTAAGGATGTTAAGTGTAAAGTTTTACAGTCGCCCAGGACAAAAACAGGTAACTCAACAAGCTTAAAACCTTGTGCTTCTCAAATACTTCCACCAGGCTACCATGAAGGGCAAAGTTGAATGAACCTTGAATGTTACGATCTTCCTCTGGATGTGATTTCATTTGCACTCTGTGTGGGCATGTGCTCAGTAGAAATCTAAGGAGGTGTTCACTGAAGATTTGTGTATTTTGCTATTAAAAAAATCCCTGAGGGGATTCTGGTGACTGGGGAAGGATTCATGAAACAAGGTTGAAATGGTGATATTTGTTTAAGCTGGCTGTTGGGTCCACGGGAATTCATTGTACTGTAATTTCTACTTTTGTTTGTGTGAGTGCAAATTTCTACAACCAGATGCTTAAATGGGATTGTAAATTTGCAGCGTGGACCTCAGATAGTGTCGGATGAAACTAAGGGGATCAAGAACCCACCCCATTAGGAGCAATTGGTAACATTTTAGTTAATATGTTTATTGCTTAAGGGTCTAGACAAAAGGGAAGAAAGGAAGAGGGAGGGATGGAGGAAGGGAGAAATTAAGTCAGAAGAAAATTGAGCATATTCATTCACTAGTTCCCTGGTCACGATGCCGTTGTTAAACTGTCACATTACTCAGCTTACATTGTTTTGTTTGTTATTGTTAAACAGATTCATAAGCTTTCTCCTTGCTTTGAGAGCACTTTTAGTGGAGCTGTTTCATGAAGACCTCACAATAACTGGGATACCGTATAGGTCATACATGACTAATTATTTTGGCGACAAAAATAGTATTCTTCTGAGGAGCGTGCCTGTGACTGCTGGAAAGGCCATGGCCCGGGAGGGGCCGTGACCGTGGTGCAGTGGCAGTGACGTGGATCGGGATCGAGGGCTCCGCACCTAGTCCGGGCTTTGCTGTCTGCACTTGCACAGTCTCGGGCAAGCACCTGACTCTCGCAGGGCTTCAGTCCCTTCCTTTGTAAACTCTGCAGCAGGGCTGGCCAACCTTTTGGCATTTCTGAGCCACACATTAAACACACAGACACTAACAAAAACGAAAAAATAAAATGATTTAAGTAAATTTGCAGCTTTGTGTTGAACGGCATTCATAGCCATCCTGGGCTGCAGGAGGCCTGCTGGGTGGAGGGATCTCTTAGCTCATAGAAATCTATGCTTCTGAGGCTTACTGTATGCGCAACGGCGGAGCCTATTGGCTAGAACTGTGAAAGGAAGATGCCCCTCCACGTCTCCATCACAGCGGGAGGGATGTGTTGCGTGTGTTCAAAATCCTGCTTCAAGTGCTTTTGCTCCTACTGCTGCTCCTTCCCCGGCATTTGTAGTTGAGTCTTTCCTACATTTAGCTCTTGCATTCTGGGACAGGCGTGTTAAGGTGTGAGATCAGAGGATGCTGATGTTTTCATCTGTCCATTCACCCAGAGATGTTCCTCACTTCCTGAAACTGTTCCCTTTGTTTTTGATGATTAATGTAGATAATACAATGAAGTGCATCGGGTGTCATTCTGGATTTTTAGTATAGTCCTGTTCAGTTTTTCATTTTGTAGCTGATACTTAGCCTCAGTCTTGGGCGACCGTAGAGAATGGTTGGGGCGTGACCCTTCCGAGGTGTGCCCGCTATGTCGCCCGCCTGATTATTGCCATCCGGGGTGCTGGGCCCTGTGTTGCCAGATTTTCTAAATGTTCAGGAGAAGTAAGGTTCTGGGCTACCATTTTCAGGCCCCTCTTGTTTTCTTTGTGGGTAAACTACCTTAGACCCTGTCTGTAATGCTTGAGTGGGAAATGGAGGTCCAGTGAGTGTGTGTTTGATTCTTGTGACCCTGCTGCAGGTGGTAGGCAGGTGATGTCCCTGCTCGTGTGGCATCTCTCGTGGTGACTGAGCAAACCTGTGTTCTCGTAGGGACGGATTGAGAGATGATTTGGATAAGTAGGACCCAAAAGACAAGATTTGCTCTATGTACCTGGGGATTCCTCATGTAAAATCAGTGTATACAAAGTCTATTTCCTCTGTGTCCACAGTTAGATTCTCTCCACTGGATAGCTCGCCAGCAAACCTGAACATCTCGCCCCTTCACAGAGTTCCCTGATTAAGGGACGCATGTCCCCCCGGCCGCCTTAGCTCCCATCGCCTTAGGACCCTCCTTGCGTCTCTCTCTCCCTTCCACCCCCTTTCCTTCACGACGTGATTTCGTGGTCTGCCTATGATGTATAGAATATTCCAGACATTGTGCACATACAGAATTTTATGGTGTGGACCCAAAAGTCAAGAAATTCACAATGTACTCAATGTCAACCCATAAAAGTTACTAAAAACTTATGGTAATTGATGTGTGGTATTAAGGAATATTTTTATATTGCCCTCATTTTGGTTTTGGGGTGATATGTTAATTATAACACTATAAAAGAGATTTAAAAGTCCTCCGTAAAGGTAAGAGTCCTGTTTCCTTATGCTGGGGCACACTTACAATGTCATGAAACTGTTGGAACCCATAATTATGAAAGACCATTTGTGGCCTGGTGCTCTGTAAAGAGTGTTATTAAATTCTGGAGGTTATTCCTGTTGAGTACAAGCCTTTGCTCTGGCATTAATGTGATATAATTTTTGTGCAGGATGGGATCTTTAAGATGAGCCTCTCCCCAGATGGGACCCTCCTTGCAGCCATTCACTTCTCGGGGAAACTGAGTCTCTGGTCTGTCCCATCCCTGAAGCAGCGAGGCGAGTGGAGTCAGGACGAGCAGGTAAGTTCCCGATCCCGCTTATTCCCAGAATGAGCCTTGCTTAAGGATGAGCACTGACAACAATTTCATTTTGTGGATATTTTACTGTAGTGCACTGATATAATTCTCATTATTCCAAAACTTTACTTATATTATAATAACAGTATAGTAGGACAGCTTAATAATAGAGTAGCACTGTGTAATGATTTTAATTTCTAGTGCAGTATATCTGTATACAGAATATAATCTGTCCATTGAATTCTCCATCTGCCCTCCCCGTCTCTTTTTTTTCTATTCTAGAAATACAGATTGGAGATGTTTGTGTTTTACAAAAGTTCATCTGATGTAATCAAGGCTTTGGATGGTCAATATTCTAAAAGTATTATAATTCTTCCCAAATTTTGCAACTTGGGTTAACTCAAGGCTTAAAGGGAGTTACCGTCTCTTCACTCAAAAGATAGGAGAGTGAAGATATAAAGAAAGATAGAACCATTAACTTTTTAATGTCTTGCAATGACATTTTAAGAATTAAATGATTTAGTTATTTAAAAACAGATAAAATCCACATCAGTTATAATTTAAAATTATGATGGGCAAATGAGGTCAGTTCATATAGTGCCACGTATTGTGATAGAGGGAAGATTTAAAAAAAAATTGTCTCACATACAGCTTATGTTATAAATCTTTTACTCATCTGATAATTATTTTGTATTTTAGCACTTTAAGGGTTAATTTCCCTTCTATCACATCCCCATTCCTTTTTTATTAAATAGAGATATCTTGTCACCAGCTTTGGTGGATAGTTTTGTTATTCCAAGGTTGGAGTATTTTCCCTGAATGATCTAAATAGATTGATGTCCTTCTTCAGAATTCTTTTAAATTTCATAAGCTAATGGCATTTTTTTTTTTCAGAATAGTAGGGGAAAAGAGAAAGTGGCTATACATTTTCTTAACTCTTTTCATAGACTGAAATTCATTCATTCTGGCTATTCATTCTTCCACATGGGTTTAGGAAGATCATTCCACCTCAGTTCCCACCTTGAACTGAATTTGGTCTCTGCCTCCCTAACCACTGTCTCTCGTTGGATGTGCGTTTGTTCTCAGTAGAAGGGGCGCTCCCTGGTCTCCAGTCTTGGCGGCTAAACACGAGGGACTGTCTCTCTGCTCTGAAATTATAGCTCATTTGACCCCTATCTTCACTTCAGGACTAGAATGGACCAACTCTCAAAATTGGTTTTAATGTATTTTAGCTAAGCATGCCAGATACTTGATCCAAAAGTTACCCATATTTTACATGGTGATAAAATATTCAGCTTTTGTCATTTGAGAAGAAACTGATGTTCTATTGTATGTGGGAAATTTTAAATTTGGGCACATTTTTTTCTTAAATGGTGAAAACTTTGAATATGAAAGGCATTCTTCCCTTCCCCTGACTTTCTGTTTTCTTATTTTCATTCATCTAATAGAAAGGACACTTAATATTTAATCTGGTGAATATCCTAGAATGTCATAAAGCATAAAGGCTGTTCAAGCAAGATCCATTAATATACTTTTTTGTTTACTGAAATTCTGGATAGCCTTTTTTTTTCTTTTTTGTATGCAAAGATAAATTGCACCTGTTGTAGTCCTTTTTGACCTACACTCAACTTTTTAACTGGTTAGAAAATTTTTTTATGTCTTAGTTGCCAATTGATGTCAGTATAATCCATTACTCTTTAAACTCAGTTATTCATTAATTAGAATTTTATAGTGATTTTATTAAAAGAATTAAAAAATTGCTTAAAAATCTTGAAACTCGGGCATGAATAACTACAACTATCTCAGTAGTTGGACGAGGTCATCAGGAAAGTCATGGGACGGGAAAGGAAGGGAATTCGGAAACAGCCAAACAGGGGCGCGGTGGGACGCCGTGGACCCAGGCCACAGGTGCGTCTCCAGTGCTGTCCTAGAGAGAGTCTTCGGGGCAGAAGCGCGCTGGGTGTTTAGAAGGACAGCCCGTTAGGAACTGCGGTGGCGTGATTTTTCTGTTGCTGCCCCTCAGTGAGCTTCGATCTCACCGCCTGTGGCTGTGATCCAGTGACTCCCAAACACTCTGATGACGATTTTCTGAGCCCTTGTCCTGGGGTTATTCAACAAGTAAGCAGCGGGGCTGAGGTTGGATTTCCTGTCCTTAGGAATCTGCTGTCCACGCTCTTTCCATGAAAATAAATACATTTAAAAAAGATGGACTTTATTTGTTAGACTTTATTTATTTATTTGATGATCTTTAAAAAAGAACAGAGACAGGTCCTGTTTTTCAGTGACTATAACACAGGTTTGTGCATCCCTCTCAGATATGTAGATCTCTTGTGCTAGTTAGTGTGTCCGAGTTTCTAGAATAAGTAACTGAGATAGCCTCTCACTGCGAACGCCTTAACTTTATAATAAATGTCTGCACTACGGGCTGTGGTGGGACAGCAGAAGGCGTTTGAATGACAGCCCTTCGCTGGAGTCGCCCGCTCATATCCTGGGGATTAGCCTCATTGGACTGGGCATTCCAGGTTTGCACTTTAGTGTGTGAAGGAATCATTAAGATCTGGCATGCTGGATTAAGTTCCGCAAGGCTTGTACATAACAGCACTACAAAGAGTAGGTAGCTGCTGTACTCATAACAATAATCATAAAATAAAGTTCAACTATTTATTGAATCTTTACCAAATGCTAGAGTAGAAAATGCAATCAGTCACAGCCCTTGCCCTTAAAGCTGTTCAGTCTTGCAAGGGAAATGATAAACAAATCAATAAAATAACATGTTAATATTATGAAAAGATAAGCTCCAAGGAAAGGCACAGTTGACGGTGTCGGCGGAAAGGACCGCTGGGAATAAACAGCGTCTGTACTGCAAGGCGTGGCTGTCCACAGAGCAATTTTCATCCATTCTATTTGCTTCACAGAAACCCTATTAAGTAAAAAATGGGTTTGTACTCATTTTCATAGATGGGAAGAGCGCTAAAAGCAGTTAGCTTAGGTCACCAAGTGTCGGTGTTAGAATCAAGGTTTTGGCCCAGGCCCTGTGACCTTTTCAGAGCTCCCGTGCTTTCGCTGAGAAACACCGCCTGCCACCTGGGCACAGCAGGTGCTAGCGCGCCGGTTCCAGCAGCACCTGTCCCCAAATCGGGTACTGGCTGTGATATTAATGGACAACAAGAGAGAGCGCGCCATGCAGTTGATACAAATGACCCCTCCTGGAGTCGGGCACTTCGTTATGTAGAGACCCTGGAAACGGGGTGTTAGCAGTGACGAGGGTGCCTCGCGTGTTCATCACTGGCTGAAAGACACTTGAAAACACTTAAACAGCTGCCCTTTTCTCACTCGTCTAGCAATAGGCAAGTGACGTTGGGTCGACCAGGTGGGACAGGGCTCTGCTTCTCTTTATTGTTGCTGTAGGGACTGAATGGACAAGCCACTTAGTGTAAAATGGGCTCTAGGGTAATGTGTACTATATAGTCGGAGCTTATAATTTTAGCTTAAACATCACCTGAGAAGAAACTAATCTTATCGTTGCCCTGTACAACCTTAAACTCTTTCACCAAATTGTAAGTTCAGCGCATCTGGGGCTTTCTTTTTGTAATTTGCTACTTTATTAGTTTTTATAATGTGCTTTGTGTGATTATTTTCTCTGTAACATCTAATGATTAAAGATAGTTGTGCAAGTGCCTGTTCTGATTTACTCCCGTCTAGTTCTGAGTTGATTAAATACTTTGGCTTTCATTGTCAATATGAACATCCATCTGGCTGGAAATCTGTGAGTATTAAGGTTCGTTCATGTCTGGAATAAAGTAAATTGCTAAAGTGATTTTCATTTCAAACATTTCCCATATGTTATGTTTATATATTTACATCTCATTTTTGGCCTTAATTTTGCTCTAAAGAAGTTTTATTTACCAGTTTGTATTTCATTAGATGCAGTAGACAGAAAACTTACCTTTTGCATTTTCATTTTATTTTCTCTTTGGCATAGAGTAAGTAAGGGCCGTTTATTTCGAGGGGTGAAGCTGTGGAGGGCGAGGGAGAGGACCACAGTCCACGTGACTAATGTTGATAGGACCCACTGCTGCCTCCGCAGCTTCACCAGGCTCAGCGCCCCTGGTGAAGAGGCTCTGAGTAGGCATTTCTCCCGTGGGACCTAACACGGGGCTCGGCGTGTTAAATACAACACACGTGTGTGCAATGGACCATCTTTTGAAAGGTCACTGTCACGTTGTCAGGGGCAGGGGCTTCACTCTATTTATCTTTTAGCCATAAAAAAAAGATTAGATAAATCCTTAAATGTGAAGACAGTGCTGGCTTAGCCATAACAGCCTTTCTCTCCTAAGTCTGTAACTGTGTTCTTTGGACCTCCTTCTCCAGCAGCTGCCGGACTCGGATGGGAGGCGCCTGGGGCTCTTTTCAGACACAGGGTCGCATGTCATACAAAGAGGGCGACATGGAAGTTGCTCCTCAGGATGTGTCAGCATGGTGCCTGGAGCCAGTGCCCCCAGTTTGCTGTCACGGGGGCTTGGCGATCCTGTCCCCAGAGCGCCAGCCCACAGGGTGTGTGTCACGTCTCCCATCCCATTGTGAAGCTTGCCAGGCCACAGAACCTGCATCCATGAGGGTCCCCAGGGTTGCCGCTGGGAAGTCGGGCCGGCCCGAGCGCCCCGAGGGGAGCAGCGGGAGGGTCCGCGCAGCTGTGGATGAGGCGAGGGACGGGCTGCCCGGGCTGGTCTGGCGCACCCCCTCTGCTGGCGTGGGGTGAAGTGTGCAGTTTTGTTTGGGCTCCTTTCTTAAATATACTGTACAGATCATTTAATCCAACTCCCATGTATTGTGAGGTTAAACATTTAATAGAGATATCTAGACTGAATCTACGTACTGCTGAGGCAGAAAGGCAGGTATGTACCCCGCAGGATTTAAAACAGGCACGCAGACAGGTGCACCCGCGTACACGTTATAGCAGTGCTATTTACAGCAGCCCCGAGGTACAGGCACCCCCAGTGTTCATTGACGGAGGAAGGGTAAACAAATTGTGGCATATATGTACAGTAATAGAATGTTATGCAGCCATGAAAGAACGCAGTGCTCATGCATGCTACAACTTGGATGAACCTTGAGAATGGTGTGCTAAGTAAAAGAAGCCAGGTACAAAGGGTCACATGTGATGTGAACCATCTGTATGAAATGCCTGCCATAGGTAAACCCACGGAGACGCAGAACAGTTGGCGGCTGCCTGGGCCAGGGAAGCGGGGAATGGCAGTTGCCTGGTGGATAAGCGATTTCCTTTAGAATGGTGGAAATGTTTTGGAACTAGATAGAGGTGACACCACATTGTGAAGGTACTAAATGCCACCAAATTGTTCATTTTCCAGTTGTTAATCTTTTATTATGTGAATTTCATCTCCATTAAAAAAATGACATAATTAACCTCCTTTCCCCCAAAAAACCCTAAACAAAAATGCAGATAATTAGAATCTGATGTCCTGTACTTTAGTTAAATTGACCTACCATTTTTTCCTAAGTAAACTTAGTTTTTTCCTGTGTACTTTTGTTCATGTTCTATTCTCTGAATCACCTTTGGTCACCCATTTTCCATAGCCAAACCCTACCCAGACTTCAGAGCATGGCACCGCAAGGGTTTCTTTGTACCTCTTGAGTTCCCTTCGTCTTCCTTTGGCCCAAATGATCTCTTCCTCCTTGGATGACCCCTAACACTGTCATCTGTACACCTGGTGGGGGCAGTTACCCAGTTTGGCCTTGGGTTACAGTCATTTATACCTGCTTCCTCGCCCTCTGCCTGCTTGAGTGTGGGCCCGAATTGTCTGAGTTTTTCTCCTTTCTCACTGTAAATGCATGGAATTTATTGACTAAATAGCAGAAGAAACCACACTTCCGCAAGGGTATAGGAAGACCAACTCTGTGTCGCTAATTTTTCTTCAGCATAGACATTCTCACTAGGGCTCAGTGATCTGGACAGTGAGCATTGAGCCATTGTGACATGTGGTCTCTCTAAAGGGTCTGGGACGACAAAGTTGACTGACGGAATGCGTTCTGGATGCAGGAGAACAGATCTTCACTTTATGTTTTAAGATTGAATTTGCAAGAGACGCCCTGTACTTTAGCAGTCGACATGGAGCGGTCTAGCCCAGCGTCTGGAGCCTGGCTCTAGGGCCCATGGCTGTTTGTGCGTGGTGCTCTTTCTCATTAACTTTGTACTTTGAACTGTGCCAATGAGATGGTTTCCTTAAAATATTTTCTCAAGATTTGTTGGTGATAAATTTACCCAAAGCGGAATCATATTGTTATTTGCTGGGCTTAAAGTTTTAAAGTGCTGTTTCCCACTCGCCTTGTGCACGCCGGAGCGTCAGCCGGAGACGCACGTGCTGCTGTGGAAATTGGGGGTGGTGTGCACACGTGCTGTTGGAGCGAGGACAGCCGGTGGCTCGGAGGCAGGGGCAGCGCCTGGACTTCCTTGTAAATGATCAAATGAGATTTCAGTTCAATAATATGTATCTTGCTGTATTCCAAGTCTTTGAAACTGAGTTGTCTTTTTCATGATTAAGCCAGCCAGGACAACCTAGTTATTCCCTTAGTATAAAAATACAGCCTTTTATGGTAACTTTTCTGGGGGGGAGGTAAAGTTTAAAGAATTACATCTTCTGTTCTCAGGGACTACTCTCAGGGACTCAGTGTAATAGTAGAGAGTACGGAATTCTTTCAGGCCATGGAAATAAATATCAGTTCTGTTAGTCTAACGTCTTGGCCCCTGATAAATTGGTAATAACACATATATGCTTATTGTGTCATGCGAGGTGAAAAGCACATTTGACCAAAGTGTAGCATCACTTTCTTTATGTTTAAGATTTCAGATAAATGTCCAAATGGTATTTTTTGTCTTTTTCCATACTGTTGTAATTCTGAAGATTAAGTATCTAGCAGTGAACTTAATCTCTATTGTTTTATGATATTTCAGAGATAATGGTGTGTCATTGCATTCACAGAGGTGGATAAGATACTGTGTTGCCATGAGATTAGAATATGAATGGATTCAGTTTAAAGATTACATGCTCGTATTTTTTTTTATGTAGTAAATTTGTCGTCGTAGAGGGAACTGGAGGTTACCTGGAGGTTGTGGAACGCAAGCTCAGAGCAGTGGAAGCGAAAGCCCAGGGGTTGCTCACTTACAAGTGAGGGGGGGTGTGTGCGTAGGCCTTGTATCCAGGCCGTCGTTTATTCCCAGTAGCGTACCTGTTCTCCCAGATGGTACGTGTGGGTGTGTGTAGAATTATTTGTTAGTGTATCTTGCTCTCATGGGTACTAATTGTATACTTGCTATCGTATTGTTCTCATGCACACACTGTCTTCATCAGATTGAGCCCCAGCACTTGCATGTGCACGTAAGTGTGAGAACAGTTGCTTTTCAAGATTATGCAGAGGAGTGGATTTCAGCCAGATTAGAGGAAAGTGTCGTCTCTGTATTTTATTATTTAAAAAAATCTCTAGTTCTTGTTGATGTTCTCTTAGTTTTCTTACACTGTTGACTCAGGAACTCGTGTGTCTACTTTTTGTGTTTAGCCCGGGTATGATGACCTTAACCCTGACTGGAGACTCTCGACAGAGAAGAGAAAAAAACTCAAAGGTGAGTTGTATGAAATGTATTTAAAACCTTAAGAGACTCCTATTGTATAATAAAGGCGCTCTTTAGGTGATATAATATACGTAGGAGAGGGAAAAATCTTTTTCTTTTCACCCTCTTGGGTTCTCTGACTGGGGGCCTGTAAAATCAGATCGACAAATGGCAGCCTAACAAGAGAAAAGCAAATAGAACTGCTAGCATGGATGTGGCGCTCACACATGGGAGCAGCCGGGGAAGAGGCCCCCCAAGGCTTGGCCGGACACCGGGCTTACGCAGCACCTTAGCAAAGGAGCGGTGGGTTTTAGAGAAGTGACAAGACAAAGGAAAAGAACTTTGAGTTTCTCGAGTTCCTTTTGCTTAAAAGTATTTATGTCAAAGCGGTGTATTTTGGGTTGGCATATTATCCTGATTCCCTTACCAAGTGTGAGAAGCAATCATGTTGAAAACTATTATATGTGTCTTATACTTTTTAAAGGAGTGCAATTTTCATATTGTTTGTCTGAAAAGTGATACATGAACATTTTCCAAAAATCTTTTATAACCTTATAATTTGTACACTTTGTACACACCTACCTTTCAATGTATTATGTTGGAAAAGGTGAAATATATCTATATAGCCTTTATTTTTGGAGAGGAAATATCTTCCTGTATTTAATTCTGCATCCCTGTAATTTTGGACTTTGACAAATTCTTGGCACTCAGATGTTTATTAAATAAATTACTATTTTGTAAAAATTAGAGCGATGACTTGCAATTTATTTTTTCTCATTATTCAGGGGCCAAATATGGTTTTTAAATTGATTACTGGACTAAATGTGTTGTGTTTAAACCACATTGACAGGCGCATTTGTATTGATTTTCTTTCCCCTTTAGATAAAGAGTCCTTTTACCCACTGATAGATGTGAATTGGTGGGCAGAGAGTGCAGTGACTTTGGCTCGCTGCTCCGGTGCTTTGACTGTTTCCTCTGTGAAAACTTTGAAGAATTTACTGGGAAAATCCTGTGAATGGTTTGAACCATCACCTCAAGTCACTGCCACCCACGATGGGGGATTTTTAAGTTTGGAGGTAATGCTGTCTCCTTAGAGCAGACAGTGTGTTTGAAAGTAAATATGTATTTCACCCAAACCCTAAAGATCTGTTTCTTTAAATTTGTTATTCCATTATCTAATTTTGGCTTTAAAAACCAAAGTCTATGATTGGAATCACAGATTGAGTGCAGTAAAAAAAGATCTATTGTTTAGTCAATTAAAAATTGATATTGTAAAATTTAGTTATTTTGCTCTTTATAACTATTTTTCCTCCACTGACATGATAGATATTTTCCTTTTTTTCTAGATTAGTCACCTTAAACTATAAAAGGTATTGCTACCTAAGACATACAGTCTTTAACCTTTTTCTGTGGAGTATGACAACTTCAGAATTTTGGTTCTTTTATTAAGAAAAGCTTGTTTATCATGACAAGAGACTGGAAAATAGAGACTAGTAATTTAAAGTTATGTTTTGGTCATTTAAAATTCTTATTTTAAGTCTTTGAAGCTTAATAGCTTTCACTTCAATGTAGATTGACAAGTACTTTTTACCTCAAAGTTTGTTCCTCAGTCTAAAGATGTTATTTTGAGAGAATTAAGGCTTAAATTCTAAGCCGACTCTGTTCAATCTGGAATGAAAGTTATCTGAAACAGTCAGATGCCCACACTCAGGACTTTGGGAAGCTATTAGACATTTTTTAAAAGGTGAGGGGGAAGAGCTATTTTAGTAAAGAAAAAAAATATGTTCATTTTCATTTTCTAAATAGATAAATCGTCATCTCAATTTTCCACAGCCGATACAAAAATATCAAAAGTGAACAAATTAGCATTCTCAACTCTGTCATTTCCCTACAATAATTACCAGGCATATATTTACGAGATCACACTCATGACTTATTAAAATAGGCTTTAGTTTTGGAGATTAGGAGCCAGTAATGTACTTGAATGTCTTTGGAGCTGCTGATGTACATAATGTTTGTTGGGTTCCTTTGAATTCCATTTTTAGTTTTAATCACGTGACTGATGTAAAGAGTCAAGCCAGAGTAGAATTACAAATATTTTTCTCATTAACTTGGAAACTTGTCTTTAGTTCCTCCCTATTAATTTAACATCTTTTTCAATTTAGTGTGAGATTAAACTTGCCCCCAAACGATCTCGTTTGGAGACGAGGAGCGGAGAAGATGAGGCAGGCGAGGAGGATTCTGACCAGGAAGCGTCTGCCAAGGCTCGCTACTTTGGTTACGTGAAACAGGGCCTGTACTTGGTGACGGAGATGGAGCGGTTCGCCCCGCCGCGGAAGCGCCCGCGCGCCCTCACCAAGCACTACCGCCTGGTGAGCCTGCGCTCCACCACCCCCGAGGAGCTCTTCCAGAGGAAGGTGAGGGCCCGGGCAGCGCAGTGCTGCTGCTGTTGAGGAAAAACTGCTTTTTAATAAAGGACGGAATTTCAAGAGGAATTATGTTATATTGACATGTTTGATGTATCAGTATTTAATAGCTTTTGAAAATGATGCTGGTCGTTGAGCCTGAGTAATCGACATAAAAAGTGACGAAAGATGCATTTACTTCGCTTGTGCACTTTGTGGCTTAGCCCGGGAGTTTGCGACCCTTCCTGCGGCCTTGTCTGCGACGACGCAGGACAGCTGTCTCCTCAGACCCCAGATGGTGCGGGAAGGCTTGCACTTGCTTTCTCGTTGGCGCTTTGCCTGGGAGCCAGGCTGGGTCAGCCCTGCGCATTCTAGCTGTTTGTGCTCTTCCTGCAGCGTCCCGGACTGGGACTGGGCCCGCGTCGCGGGTCAGCCTGTAGGCCCTGCTCGTCCTGGTGTTGCCATCTCTTTACTCTGTAAACGTGGGCATTTCCCTTCCCGTCTCTCTGCTTTGTATTCAAGGGCTAAAGTAAACACTGGACTTATCTGTCGCTCAGAACGCGCGTGAGCCTCTAGCGCCACCGCGCCCGGGAGAATACTTTGGAATGCAGAACATGCCGTGCAGGGTAGGGGATAGTCATCAGCCATCACACCGTCACAGTGACCTGTTTTCATTTCCTTGTCCCAAGATTGAAAGTGAAGAGTATGAGGAAGCCTTGTCCCTGGCTCAGACCTACGGCCTGGATACTGACCTTGTCTATCAGAGGCAGTGGAGGAAGTCGGCCGTCAACATCGCTTCAATTCAGAATTACCTGGTATGTAACGTGGTAAAATTCACATCTGTGGAACATCTTTTGGTTATAGGGCTTCATATTAGAGTACTTTATATTGCTGACGGAGTGTGTTTTCCTCAACTTGGAAAAATTACCTCGTTACCCTCTTTTATTGGCCTTGCAGCTGGACTCTGGTGCTGAAGACGTGTGAACGAGTATTTACTGATGACCCAGCCAGCTGCCTGGCTCTGACCTGATCCTTTCTTTTCCTCTGCCTCAGTCACCGCTCTTCACCTGCCTCAGTCGGGGCCCCATCAGGAGCCACAGGCCACACAGTAATTTCAGTGGGGAAAGTTTTAATATAGAGAATTATTTTCTAGTACCAGGAGATTAACTATAAAGGGGTGAAGAGAACTCTAAGGAATTCCTTCAACCCTAGGGCTGAAGGAGCACACCCAGGAGGAATGGGCTTCGAAGGGAGGCCTCCTCCCTGGGCTGGGACTCAGACCTGCTTGGACAGGAGCAGCTGCAGCACGCTGGATGGAAGGGCAGTCCCCTGGGATGTTACGGGCCAGGGCTGGTCCTTAGTTGCCGAGGCTGGTATATAATCGCCAGAGTTGCCAGGGAGGGAAGGGTAGGAAGGATGGGTAAGCCGGTGCTTATTGCTAGGGCACAGCAGTGAGTGGGGGGTTGGCAACCCTGGAGACCGGTAAGCAGGAAACCCTCCAGTGGCACTTGTGCAGCTCACGGCTGGCAGCTAGGAACCATGGCCAGGGCTGAAGAGAAAAACTCCCCCTGCAATGGGCGGGCCTAGCCTGGGAGGCGTCTGCCCGGGGGAGTACAAGGGAGTTAATTCAGAGAGGTTGTCCATGGCCGGAGGAAGAGGGGGCTGTTAGCGCCCCTGGACGTCCCCCGGTGCAGTGCTGGCTGCCACGCCGTAGGAGCAAGAAGGAAGGAAAGAGGGCACTCGAGTGGAAAGCCAGAGCCTTCCCCTGCGGCGGCCCCCCACCGCCCTCTCAGTGTGGCACTTCCTGAGTCAGCTCACATGGGGAATGCCGTCTACCCCACCGCTGGCTGCGAAGGGGGGTTTTGAAGACGAGAGGCAATAGATGGATAACTCACATATCAAGCTTGACCAACACCCCCTTTTTGTTTGAATCTTGCAATTGGATCCTTCCTGCTCTCTGCTGCCACCATTGTTGTTGCCTGTGCGTTTGTACCCTTGACACCTTGAGGAAGTATTTGGATTTAGGGCATGCTTTTAAAAGGGTGTGACTTATCTGGTGTTTAGAAAATAAAATACCTTTGCATTTAGGAAGGTCCTGAGAAATGCTGGGAAAAGTCTCATGATAATTGTTTTCCTTAAAGATTTGTGTACATGAGTAATTAAAAAATAAAAATGTAATTGGAAAAAGATGTATGTAAGAAGTAGATACGTCAACCAAACAGGAAGATAAAGTGTTAATACAAGTAAGACATGGAGATGAGAGAACAGAGAGATAATTAAGCAAAGGAAGAAAACAAAGTTCTTTGTATTTTCATTAGAATTTCAGAACACCAATTCTATATTACCTTTCTTCTTTTGTGACTCAGGACAGTAAGCTCCTGAGTTCATGGATTCCATTTTATGGCTCTTTCTGGGACACAGTAAAAGAAAGCTTTGGTTTCTGAAGGAGAGACAAAGCAAGTACTTTTTTTTTTTTAAATTGGGGGACATACTTAACTCAGCTAAATAAATAGGCATAAGAGTTAAAGTACTATGCTAGGGATGGTGAAGGGGTAGAGGAGCCACTTAAACATAGGTTTTGCTTTTAGGGAGCTTGCAGTTTTACTGGGAAGACAAACTTCATGCCCCAGCTGTAAATAACTATGCAAGATTCCACATGGGTGCTGTGAGAACCCAGTGAGGGAGAAATCATTACAGACCCCGTGGTTAAGGAAGGCTTTATGTCGCAAAGATGCTTTGAGCAAGGATTTGAAAGGATTCAAAATAGGCTTTCTAGAGTTTGAAGTGTGGAAGACATTTTTAATGAGATACATGGAATGAGCAAATTAAAGGAATGAACATGATTCACGAGGCCAGTGACCAGATCTGTCTTACTCATTGCTGTATCCTCAAGTCTAGTTCAGCGTCCGGAATAAATAGTTCTTGGAAGAATAAATGAGCTCTAAGTAAACCAGTCTGCTGGGTCTGATATTCCACAAGAGTGAACGCTGTGAAATATGAGTAAGGAAGACATACTGGTTTGGGTTTGGGAGGGTGTTGAAAGCTTGTGGTGGTGTAAGCTCTTTATCTCCAGGGTCATGGGGACCCCTGTGGAGTTCCGACTGTGGAGGTGCAGAGGGAGGTGGTGTGGAGGGAGCGCTGGAATGGCCGGAGTGGGAGGTGGGGGGGACCCTGCATGGGTGGGGACTCCTCCAGGGTCCCAGGGTCCCAGGCATTAAGTACCGATGGCAGAGACCGGTGTGCAGGCCACAGACGTGGGAAAGGGCAAATGGGGTAGGAGACATTTGAAGAAAGAATTGAGAGTGTGTAAAAAAAAGAATAGCGGGTATGAGTCAAATCTTACTTGAAATTGGTAACCACAGTGAGCCTTTCTGTGAAGAGGGCAAGTCGGGATTTTGAATGGAGTCAGAGGAAGCAGTTGGGCTGGAGGAAAAGGCCCTTGGCCTTTCCAAGAACAGCATCGTATGACTTCTTATGATTCAGTTATCATCCATTCTTCTTTGTGATACATGTCACGGTCAAATAGGTACTGGACCTTGAGGTGCTATGCCTCATGAGTTTTGTTTCAAAGTTAAACATGCTGGTTACGATAGGCTGTATCTTATCTGGCCTTTCTGCTTTATTTTCTGCTCTTTTGTGTAACCCGAGTGAAAAACAAAGAGCAACTATAAACGCTTGGAAAGATCTTTTACTGTTTCCAAAGATGAGTACTTAGCTTTGTGTTTCGTTGGGGTTCATTAGAAGAAGAGAAGCAGCTGTTGGAAGACATTTGCTGCACCCAGCTCTGGTCACCACTAGGGAACGGGAATTAGCTTTTTCCTGTGGACCTTCTCAAGCCTCTGCCTGTGGTCCCTGCGGTACAGCTTTATAATTTTAGAAGACCCTTGTCAGGCGCTGACGCATCATACGGGTTGTTTGATGCCTCTGTGCTTTATGTTCTTTTTATCCAGAGTAAAATAAAGAAACGATCCTGGGTTCTTCATGAGTGTTTGGAAAGAGTTCCTGAAAATGTGGATGCTGCCAAAGAGCTGCTTCAGTACGGATTGAGGGGCACAGACCTGGAGGCTCTCGTGGCCATTGGGAGAGGGGCGGACGATGGCAGGTAGGTTCCAGAGGATGTGGGCTCACAGGTACAGGCGGCTTTGTGAGCTCTTTTAAGCTGAGACATTGGAAAGGGTAAACTTCTCTTTAGGTTATTCTGTAATGGAGTAGTTGCTTTTGACCAGTGCTTTCTTGTCTGAAGTTACAACTGTCTTTCAGTTAAGTGCATTTACATATGATAGGTTGATGCTAAGTAAAGAGCGAATTCTATAAACATGGATTGAACGCTGGCCATTTCTAAGCCGTGGGCTCATGGCACATACCTGGGTGTGCCCACTGGGCAGGTGAGCCCCTTTAGGCAAGTCTGAACCTCGTTCACGTTCTTTATCTGTAGCCTCACACCGACTTCCCAGGGTCATCTGCAGTGATTAAGTTACGTCTGGTGGGAGCACCTCCTAAACTTTTAAGCACCATACAAATGTCATCTAATAATAAAATAAAGTTATTTGCTGAGAGCCATTGCTCACCAGACATGTGGGACTTTCTATGACATATAAATGTGATAGTGTATCAGTTACGTGAATAAAGTGAACGAGATCGACACTCAGTACCATCGCAGAAGTGATTCGCATTGTAAACTTTGGGCAGCATTTTCTTCACAGGCTGTCTCACATGGGGCGCATTGTTGCCTAAGTATTGTGGTTTTCATTCTCTTGATTTTTAAAATTTCTAAAAACGATCATTACTGATGACTGGATGACTTTTTGTCCGTCCTGTGGATATAATGAGTGAATCACTTTGCTTATGGTAGCACTAGCTTTCATTCAAATAATGGGTTGTTTCTGTGGAAATCAAATTAATAATAAAGTCGATCAAAGTAGAGGACAGTGGCTTTTGCCTCCACGGGTTTTCGTTTTTCCTCACAGATTCACGTTACCTGGTGACGTAGACATCGACGGCATCTCCTATGAGGAGCTCTCCCCCGAGGACAAGCCTGCCCGGAATGCGAAGGAGAGTGAGCTCAGAAAACGACGAGAGCTGCTGAAATTAGTGAACTTTTCAAAGTAAATGATGCATTACTGTCCTTTTTGTAATTTCTTTAAGATAATGAGTCATCTAAGTGTGTTCTTTCCTGAAGATAATTGCTGTAAATTATTTCAGCAACTTAGATCAAGTGCATTTAATATTTTACCCTTGTGCTTTTGTGTACTGTTCCACAGATTTTGGGCTTGGTAGGATATTGATCATTTTTATTTTATTTTAACTCTTAGAGAAATGTGCTTTTATGTGAATGTAAGTGGCCTAATTTCTTCATTCAAAACAGGTTAACACTGGAACAAAAGGAGCTTTGCCGTTGTAGGCTGAAATTATTAACCTACCTAGATCGGCTTGCAACCTATGAGGTAAGGGCTACTTGTAATCAAACCACTTACGTTTATTTGATCTTTGCTTCCTCAGTCTGTCATTATAAATGCTAGAGCTGCCCTAGTATCTGCTATTCTTGGTCTTTAGAACTAGTTAGGTGGGAAAAACTTCATTATGTGCAGACACAGGTTTTATTGTATATGAGTTCCGGTAAAAATTAGAGATGGTGGAAGGCCAGAATTGTTTTGTAAGTATAGGGAATAGAAATGCTTTAACTACTTCACTGCGTCTCTGTTTCCTACATGACAGTCCTTTTCGTTTGCTTTGATTTTGCATTTCAATTTGAGGTTATGGAATATAGCCACCTCCGGTACCAGATTTCACTATATATTGTCTTTTAATAATCCTAATGTGAATATTTAAGATTTATTTTATTTTAATGATTTGTTAGTGGGTTGAAGTTAGTTGACTGAACTTTGATCCAATTAGGCCCAAAATTAGATAGTTGACCTTAAGAAAGTATACTTGCGTTTGTTTCTTCAGGTCCACAGAGGCAGATGTTTCTGTGTTGGGCATTTCTGTGGTGCTGTGTGCTGTGAGGTCTGTTTAGGTGTTGTTCCAGGTGGCACGTGCATTTCAGGAAGACACACAGCTTAGGGTGCTTTCCCACGTGACCCTCAGAGAGTGGAAGCTTCCTGGGATTTAATACAGTTTCTAGCCTTTGACTGCGTCCTCAGACGTTGTTATGCCTCATCTCTGTGGGCATACCTCTGTTGACTCTTGGTACTGGCACACAGTAGGTTCTCAGCAAGTGCCACATCTAAGGATGTGATGCCTGTCCCCTGAACAATGGGGGTATTTAGTATGTCTCATACCTTCAGGCAAGTCCTAAACCATTTGATTCCCAGCCTGCTGATAATAGAAATTTTTTCAGACAAAATACTTGTGACAATAGAGGGCTATTTCTGTGGTTATTAAAAACCATAGCAATGAGTATATCACTTCACACAAACAGGTTGAAAAAACTTCTAATAGTTCTATCTGTAGTACAGCTAGTTTGAATGTTGGATGGCCATGTTTTTAAAAGCATATTGCTTTAATTATGTCCGAGTTGTGTGATATTTTGAGGTGATATATAAAAGCATGTTGTGACCTGCAGAAGTCAGTATAGATATAGATTATCATTTTTTTGGTTAGCCTTAGTTTTACTGATGATGAGGTCTTGAGATCTTAAAAAGAAAGGTTCCATGAAATGTTGAGCATTTGACTATCCAGTTAATTTTCTTTCAGTATTCTTGAGTTATTGAATGGCTATTTCCTATTTGAAAGTAATAAGTACATTTATTATTACATGGTAATAGTGGTATCTAAACTATTTGTTGAGCCTGCTTTTTAAGGGATTTAAGCTAAGCTTTTGAAAAGTAAATGAAGTTGATGAATTTGGCTATTAAAACTTATAAATGAAGATATATAGATAGAATGACTAACCAGTAGATAGTGGTAGAGATTTGCATTACATTTTAATCATAGGGCATGTCTTATTTTATTAATTCTGTGATAAATGACATAAAAATGGATTCATGTAAATTTTATTCAAGTACCTACTATGCCAGATATTAAGCCAGTGCTGGAGGTCAAGAGGTAACACAGGAACAGTCCTTTATTATACAGGCAATAATTGATGCTAATGAAAACACGAAACATTGATGAGGGAGCCTAAAGGAGAAGAACATTAAATTTTTCCCGGGGATGTCCGAGACGACTCTGCATGGGAGGAACAGGAGTCTTTTTTTCAACTAGTGCTTAGAAAAAGGAAGACAGATTTGAGGGCTGCGGAGCCACGAGAATGGACGCTCCCTCAAGGCAGGGTCCTGTTTGCTGCAGTATCCCCAGGGCTCAGGACAGTGATGGTGCCTGGCTTGTTGAGGAGCCCAGTAGACATTTGTTGAGGGAGCCAGTGGATAAGGGGATGTTTTAAAAATACTTGAGACTGCCTGGGAATACCTGGTGCTCCAGGCTTTGTCTACGGCCATGCCAACCTGAACGCGCCCGATCTGGTCTCATCTCAAAAGCTCAGTGGGGTTGGGCCTGGTCAGTAGTTGGATGGGAGAAATGCCAACACACGTGTTGAGGACTTAACTGTTTATCAGCCAGTGTCTTACGTACTTAGTCCAGATTGTTTCTCAAGAATCCCCGGAGTCAGGCCCTATTATCCTCCCAGTTTTGTGGATATGAAACTGAGGCTAAGGGAGGGTAAGTCATTTGTCTAAACAAGCAGGGAGCAGGACTCCACAGCGAGGCCCCCTTGTCTTGTACCCTGAAAGTAAATCTTGGGCTCCTGACACAGTGGGCCGGAACGAAGGGAGGAGGGACTGCTGGGATGGTCGGTGGTCGTATTTTGAGAGGCCTTTCCTGCTGGCCGTGTGAGGAGTTGCATTAGACTGCATTTTTGCCAGAGGCTGGACCGCTTAGGAGCGGGTGGGAAATGGGCGTGGGGCTGGTGGTTGTGGGCAGCTCCCCAAGGAGCATGGCTGTGAAGGGGAGCAGACAAGGTGGTGGCAGCTAGAGAAGTGGAAAAAATTAAGCATTGTTATTTTAATAGAAAGAAGAAGTATTGTTTGTATGCTAATGGCATGAACCAGTAGAGGGTGAGGGGAAATTTGCTGAACAGAAGCAAGAGGAGATGAGGATGCAATTAAATTCGTTTTTCCTTTCACTTCTCTGACTGCCCCTCCCTCTGCTTTTCCGATCCAGATTCCCTTTTCCTTGCCCATCTTTTAAATGGTGGTGTCCTCAGTCTCCTTTCATTTCATTCTACTTACTTTCCTTGGAATCAGCCTCTGCGTTAAGAGCTCTTTGTCATCTGGCGGACTCCTGTCTCCCTCCAGAACTCCTCCCCTGGGGACCCACCAGCCTTTTAGATGCTTAGATGCGAAGAGCTCCTTTCAGATGCTCTGTGGGTCCAATCTCAACATGTTTGCCAGTGAACTTCTCTCTCTCTGCCTCCCTCTGTCACCTGCTCCAAAGATCCTCATTCTTCCCTCTTTCCTGTCTCAGTAAATTAATTCAGAGTGAACAGTGTTTACTGGCTGTTTAGTATGTACGCTGTGCATCTGGAGTTCGGCTTTGCACGAGACAGACATGAGCCCCTGGTTATGCATCGTACCGGGGAAACCTCCCCTTGCAGTTGCCCTGGCTAACTTCTGTTCGCTCTTTCTGTGTCTGCTTTGGGGCTGTTTCTGGGAAGCCTTCCCTGCCCTCCCAGAACTAGTGTTTCCCTTTGCCTGGCCCTATTTGCTCGTTTGTCTTCCCTACTAGATTTTAAGCCACTCAGAGAGCAGGGCCAGCATACTGTTGGTTGTATCACTGCTGCCTGTCAGAGGCCCCAGCCCACAGTAGGCCCTCAGTAAATGTTGCTGAGTGAATGAAGGGCTCATCCTGCATTTTGCCAAGATCACTCCCGCAGCTGCAGGTTCTCCCGGATACGGCTGTGCTCAGGATGCACAGCTGTGCGTAACTGTTGCTTATTTGTCTTTACCAGGTGGTGGATGAGGGTTGTCCTACTGGAATTAATTTAATATTAACCACTTATTTCATTTACTTCTGGATTTAAAAAAATTAATAGCACTTATAACCGTTTTCAAAATGAAGGCAAGACTGCAGATGTAGTACTTTACGTAAAGGTTGATCGTTTAATGAATTCAGGCCATATTTATTTAGGTAGGCAGAATTTTAAAAGTTTTTAATATTTTCTTGTCATTGAGATTTGAAAGCCTTTTCATTAAATCTCTGTTTCCCTTCAGGAAATCCTAGGAGTGTGTCATGCATCTGAACAGAGATATGATGCTGAATTCTTTAAGAAGTTCAGAAATCAGAATATTGTTCTCTCCGCAAGAACATATGCTCGGGTAATTTCTTTTTTATAAATAAAACTACTATGGTTATTAACAATTTCTATCTTTGAGCCATGCAGTTAATGTTATATCACATACATATACTATTTATGTTGTATAGTACTATTGTTATGTTGTATAGTAATAGGAAATGTACTATTACATTTCCTTTTTTTGTTGTAATACTAATAAATGTACACAAACGAAATCACATTTAAAAAAATTTTTATTCATTCTTTCAAAAATAATTTTTTTATAGCTTTAGATTGAGAAACATGATATAGCCTAGGAAGAATCAGGAATATTTCAAAATACTTCACATCAGAACTGCATAAAACCTCAATGAAACATTTTTTGAATGTTCATACTGAATCATTCCTTTATCTCTAAAGTTCTCATTGAAAATGTACCCCTTGCCTTTGGTGCAGGAGAGCAACGTACAAGCCCTGGAGATTCTGCTCACTTACCACGGGGCAGACCTGCTCCCTCACCGCCTCGCGATCCTCTCCAGCTTCCCGGAGACCACCTCTCCTCACGAGTACTCTGCGCTGCTGCCCAGAGCTTGGTGCGTGAGGCTGCGAACTGCGCTTCAGCTGCTTTCTAAGTTGTAGCAGTTTTTTGTTTCATGCTGAACATCTTAAAGTGAAAAATAATTTAACTGTAATCTATTTGAACCTTTTTTCCTGATTATTAAGTTATTTCTAACTTATTTTTAAATGACCCTGAAACCACAGTGCGTCTAGCAGCACCCCCTAACTTAATGCACATGAACTTTGCTGTTTGGGAAAGCCTCCTGATTGGACTGTTACGTACTCTGTACGTACAGTTTTGTGGTTTAAAACAGGCGTCTTTGTGAATTAGTTATATCTTTTAGGCACTAAGGTATAGTGCCAACAACATTCAGAAGGAGGCCCCGGGCCGCGGGGCTGAGGGAACCCTGCTTCTTTAACAACCTTTCTCCCTGTGAAGCTCCAGCAGCACAAAGACCAGTGGGAAATCAGAAGGGCCCTATAGTGTTCGTCAGACCAATGCTCCTTCTCTCAACTCCAGGCCGTTTGATTGTGTTGTAACATGTGACATAGACTGTAAGCTCCCTGGATCCATTAAGTCCCAGTGGCACCACTCAGGGGGCTTTTGGAGGCCGGAACATCTCTTCTTGTGAATGAAGAACAGAGAGGGTATCTGCCTCAGGGCGCAGCTCAGGGACAGGGGGTAGGCCTGCAGCTCCAGGCCTGACCCACCTGGCAGGGGAGAGGGCAGGAGGGAAGGGGAGGGGAGGGTGAGCTGAGCGCACCTGCTCCTCTGTGGCTGCACAGAGGCAGAAGGCGAGAGGACCCTGATCCTGAGACCTTCTCCCTGCAGCGAACCAGCCCACTGGTCAGTGTGGCTCACTCCTCAATTGCATGATGCATCCTTTCTGAATTTGAGTTTACCATCTTTAAAATGAATTGACTGTCCTTGTCCTGCCTATTCATAGTGCATATTTTTAGTAAAAAGTGAATTGCTATATATTAAATCTGTTTGTAAACTGTAAAACACTAAGAGATGAGGACACCTCTGATTGAAATCACCGTTACAGCCTTTTGCTGCTGGTAGCTTATGATGTTGAGGGATGCTTTGGACATGGGGATCATTTGGCTTCCCAGTCCCTTCACCCCAACTCGGTGTCATAGTTCTAGGCTTAGGTGTTGATGACGGTGGCCAACAGCAGTTACTGTGTATTTGCCACATACTGCTATCTGGTCTCCAAACACTTTTAGTATTATCCTTATATTACAGAAAGCTGAGATATACAGAGGCTTATTAATACATTAAACTCCATTGAAGTGCAGCCAGGATTTGAACCTATATTTATTTAGCGTCAGTAGGCTCTGAAATGTAAGTTATAAGCTCCCTATTTTGCATTATTCTTAGTACTAAAAAGATAAGTTTCTGCTACGATAAAAGTGAATAAAAAGAAAAAACTGGGGATGCCCTTTACATCTAAAATATTTGTTTTAGATCTGAATAGTGATATGTAACTGTGGTTTATAAATACATATATATAAATATATCCTAATACAATTAATTTATTATTTCTGCCTCTTTGCAGAATACTTCTAATCTGATGGGAATGACATTATTTCTTAAATGTTTTTAAAGGTTATTTCTCCTTAGATTTGAATGCATTTATTGTTTTTGCCTTTTATGATTGCTTAGGTAAACATTTGATTTTCACCTGAAATTTCAGAGTTCGTTTGCAAAATAGTTTTGTAATGGGCAGTGCTATTATACCTTTGAATGCCCTGTGCTTTATTTATGGGGCCCTCTAAAAACTGATTGAAATTTTGATAAGTACTTGAAGTGTGCCATATTGCAGCAGAGGATAATCGGAAGATAAAGTTATTATGAGTCTTTGTTTTGTGGTATGTTGCTTAGACAAACTTTGAAAAAACTCTGATTTCTTATGGGTCTTTAAGTTATATTCATTTTAAACACATTGAAAAAATACAGACTTTTTTTTTGGCTAATCTTTGTTGCTCAGGAGAGTCTTCCCCATTGATACTTTTGGTTCATCTCCAAAAGCATATGTGATGGCAAAGCCAAGCCACAACTGTGTTTCAGGCCCAGCCTCCTTCTGTGGGTCTTCCATAACTTAATCCTCTCTATATGCTCATGATTCTTTGTTCATCCTTGTCTTATACCACTTTTTACCTTGTACTGTATCATCAGTCATGTTTAATCTGCCTCTCTTCCTGTTTTTCCCTTCCTTAACAGACACCCAGCTTTAAGCCCCAACAAAGTCGTGCAGGCAGAGGCCATTTCCTCCCTGTTGTTGGAACCCCAGGGGCGAGGGTGGTGCTTGTGTGGTGGGTTCTCTGAGAATGTTCACTAACTTGGTAAGTTAGGTCCATCTAGTGCCCATTTGGAAGCAGGTTAAAGAAGGTCCAGAACGGAGTTCACTTTGCTTCGCTGCGCTTATATCTAACCGTTATTTGTCTCCTCTCCTCTCTCTGATCATCCTTGGCCATCCCTCACTTTAAATCCACCTTTCCTGCTTTATTTCTTCCTAGCATTCATCACTGTTTATTTTAGTTTGACTTGTAACTTATTTATCTTGCGTATTGTCTGTTTGCCCTTCTAAAATGTTAGCTCCCATAGGACAGGGATTTTTGCGTGTGTTCTTTCCTTCCTCAGCTTCTGCACTTAGAGTAGAGCCTGGCACTGTAGGCAGTCCGTAAATACGTGCTGGATGAATGAACAAATGAACGAACAAGGATAAATTCCACAAGGGCAGGACGTCGGGTCTTGTGTACTGATGTAGCCCCAGTGCCTAGAGGAGCGCTCTGCACACAGCAGTAGCTTAGTAAGGTGTTTTGAATGAACGCACGCACTAATTGGGTGGGTGTGGCTTTACGTTTTCAGAGTTCAAGCTGTGTAATATTTGGAAAGCGATGGTAAGTTATTCCAACAAGTTGACCTTTTAACTACTCTGTTCTGGGATCCCACCGGCAGGATTTTTGCCTTGGCATTTGAACAAAATTTGATTTACCAATTTCCATTCAACAAAGTTTTATGATTACGATTGCTGGGAAACTTCCATGGTATGTGTTATTTTGTGTTTTGTAGTGTCGCTCTTAAATTATCGTGTGTACTTGACATTGGTGAAATGTGACTGAGTTTTTTAATACTTTGAAATTACATTTTCTGTCATAGGTGATACATCTTTTTATTCGTTACCATCCTTAGTGTGTCATTGCTATAAAACATTTACATTTTATATTCTCGGTGACTGTTTTAGTTTTTAAGTAGAAAGGTGACATTTTTATACCATCTTCTTTTACTTTTAGTATTCTTGATGTTTCTAGCATATTTTATTTGTTTAGTCTTTTTAATTTTTCAGTTATAATTGGCATTCAATATGAAATTAGTTTCAGATGTTACAGCACATTTTAGAAGGACTGTTTAGATTTTTTTATGTATGCCTCTTCCTATTTTAACCTTTCCAGGATGATGAAAATGCCTAGTTTGAAGGTTGTATTTTGGGCAGCTGTGTGTTGGAAGAGTAGAGCACAGGGGCAGGAGCACCAGCGCCAGAGCCGGGGTCCAGGGTCCAGGGTCCATGGATGGGTGTCTGATGTTGCCTCATCCTCTCACCTGTAGAATGGCGATGATTAGAGCACTGATTTCATAGTGTTGTGAGGATGATTAAGGAGTTAATGTACATGAAACACTGAGAACAGTACTTGGCACCAAGTAAGTGCTACTTAACTGTTAGCAATTATTATTAACGCAGAATGTGATGTGAAGACCTTGGACTCATATACTTACATATGTCGTACACTTATTATTTTAAACTTTCTGTTGGAGCCCCTGGCTGGGTAATCAGTTGGCTGGAACATTGTCCTGATACGCCAAGATTGCAGGTTCCATCTCTAGTCAGGGCACATGCAAGAACCAACCAATGAATGCATCAATAAGTGGAACAACAAATCTATATTTCTCTCTTTTTCTCTCTTCCTCTCTCTCTCTCAAATCAATAAATAAAAATGTTAAAATAACTTTTTTGTTAGAATAATTCTATAATTAGAGAAAAGTTGCAAAGATAATATAGAGACTTCCTGTCTAGCCTTCATCTACCTTACCGTGTCTTACATAATCATAGCACAGTGTCAAAGCTAAAAACTTACTGCTGGAATAGTCAGTTCTGTATATAATGTGACTTATGCTTTCCTAAAAATCCCTGTACCATGCATAATTGGATTTATGGGGAAAATGGGGTTGGGGCCCAGCATTCAAAAACTTTGTGCATTTTGTTCAGGGAAGTGTCCCTTGAATGGCGCCTCTTGGTCACGCCCAGGCTAGGCGGAGCCGCCTTGATTCCCCGGGGAAAGGATGGAGCAGGCTCCGAGGGCCTGACAGAGGCAGGCTCCCCTAAGGCCCGTGTGGAGGGGCAGTGAGCTCGTTGGCTTGGGGCCAAGGAACATGAAGGAAGAAAGGGGTGAGGACAAGGCCCTTCACGTTGAAGGTGCAATTCCTGTGATGAAGTTTGGGACGAAGTGCCCCAGCCGGAGAGCCCACAGCCCCCGAGGGATGGCACCAGGAAGAAGTGGGGTCAGAGCCGGTGACCTGGTTCAACCTCAGGGCCTCGATATGCCTGGGCCCAGAGGGTGGCTGAGGGCAGAAGCCTCCCTGGAGTCAGCGGCCTCTGCCACGGCCACCCTCAGCTTGAGGACGTGGCTGAACTTGGAAGTGTGAGGTGTAAGAGCAGTAACCTTGGAGCCCGACTCTGGGCAAGGGGCGGGCCCAGCGAGGCACGATGCCAGCAGGCTCTGCAAGACCGTCTCCATGGCGATACCACAGGGCTGGGCCAGAGCGTGGGAGTCGGGCCCGCCGGGCACTCCAGCTCCTCTCCAGCCGCCACTTGCCATAGAGTCACTCCCCCGGGACCCCGTGTTCTAGAGGCGGGTATGTAACAGTAGGTGTGGGAGGAGGCCCCCTGTTCGTGTGAGCTTTGGAGTGCCAGCGATTACTGAATAAACAGGGGAGGCTGAGTTTGTGCCCCAAACTGGAAAAGTGTGTTTG